ACATACCTTTTAATAAAGGGCTGTTATTTTTCTTTTTCCCTTTTCCATAATTTGTTTTCCTTCAATCGGAGCCTCTTAATTTTGGATCTATAATTGCTAGAGAAGAAGGTTTGGGTCTTTTTCTCCTAATCCATCCTCAGCAAAAGACCCTTGTCTCAATTAAACTGAGACAGTATTGAACCAGCTTCTGGAGAGACACATTCCCATCCCTGTCCCCATTCCCATCCCTGTCCTCATTCCCATCCCTGTCCTCATTCCCATTCCTGCTGTCCCCATCCCTGTTCCCAATCCCATTCCTGGTGTCCTCATCCCTGTCCCTATTCCCATTCCCATTCCTACTGCCCTCATCCCTGTCCCCATTCCCATCTCTGTCCCCGTTCCCATTCCTGTCCTCATTCCCATCCCTGTCGCCATTCTCATTCCTGCTGTTCCCATCCCTGTCCCCATTCGGATTCCTGGTGTCCCTATCCCTGTCCCCATTCCCACTCCTGGGGTTCCCATCCCTGTCCCCATTCCCATCCCTGTCCCTATTCTCAGTTCCTGCTGTCCCCAGCCTGTTCCCACTGTCCCTATCTTGGTCTCCCATGCCCCCGTTCTGATTCCCACACCTGATGTTCCCATTCCCAATCCCTGGTGACTCCAGCCTGTTCCCAATGTCCCCATCCCAGTCCCCACTGTCTCCATCCCATTCCCATTCTTGGTTCCCAAAGAGGAACTGCCGGATGCCGGAGGAGGGAACCAGGATTTATTGCCCAAAGCAGGAGATTTTTACACCACAATTAAAGCCTCAGCAACAATTGTGCTCCTGGGTTTCACACATGGGAAAGCAGGACGTTGATCCATCGGGAAGAGCCGCAGGGGGGCCGGGCTGGGTGGGAGCAGCGGGATGAGCTCTGCCAGCAGCTCCTGCCTTTCCGCAGGGAGAGGGAAGGGGCAGATCCAGCTCTGGGATCGCTCAGGCCATGATTCCTGCTGGGATGAGAGTGGGGGAAGGAGTCTCCATGTCCCTGTTCCCATCCCAGGGGATGGATCCGGCTGGGGAGCCCATGGAGAGCAGCAACTGCTCCGGATTCCCTCCTGATTCTGCTCCGTCCATCCCACTCCAATACCACTCCAGAATCCAGCCCTGATCCCAGCCCACAATTCCACTTGACCCACTCTGCAATCCTGCCCTGAGCTGCAATCCCATTCCAATCCCGCTCCATCCATTATGCCCCGATTCCCCTCTGGAATCCCGGGATACATCCTGGCATCCCTGCAGAGAGGATCTGGATCCACCCACGCTGCTGGTACTCACTGGTGGGTGCGGGGTCGTATCCATTGCCCTCCCTCTTCCCTATGGAAAGAAAGCGAGTTTGATGGGAGTTGGATGACTCAGATTTATCCACAGAATTCCCACAAGAATGCCCATGTTCCTCAGTTCCACCCTCCCAAATCCCACATTCCCAAGTCCCACATTCCCATGGGAATTCTGTCTCCCTCACCTTTGTGCTCCAGCGCTTCCCACCCATATCCAACATATTTCTGGAGCCATTCCGCACATCTCAGTCCCAGGTCTTGTTGAAGATCCTTGTACCCTTCAGATCTCCATTTCCTCTGGGTGATCTGGGCAGCTCCATCGGCCGCCACGAAGGTCCCGCTCTCCGGGGAGAAGGAGATGAAATCCCGCCCGTCATAGCCAAGTCGAAGGGTTCTGCGGACGCTCCCGTTGGACAGGAGGTCACAGCCAGAAAGCCACTGCCACGTGTGGAGACCTGGGGGGTTTGATTGGACCCACAGAGATCCCTGGAATTGTGTCCCAGCCCCACGGAGCCCCATTCCAGCCCTATGGAGCCCCACAGTCCAATGGAGACCCACAGAGACTCATCCCAACCCCTTGGAGCACCTTGGATCCACATCCCGGCCCCACAGATCCCATCCTGGCCCCACACATCCCATCCTAGCCCCTCATATCCCATCCCAGCCCCACACATCCCCCCATTCCCTGGCTCCCGCCACTCACCCCCACTCCAGTTGTACCGGGCCCCCACTCTCTCCAGGCTGGCAGCAGCCACGATCCGGTTCCTCTCGCTGATCTGGGTCTCCTCCTCCCAATATTCTGGCTCAGTTCCAGCTGCCATCCACGGCGTCAGCGGCTTCTCCCAGTGCCGCTCACTGTCGTAGCGCGTGATGGGGATCCCGTCCAGGTATCCCAAATCCATGAATTGAGGGATCCCCAGGCTGGGCTCCATCACTGCCACGTTCAAGTAATGCAGGGAGTGGAGAACTGGGGGGACACAGAGATTTGGGAGGTCCAGGGGGGTCATGGGTCAAGGAAAGGGGGAACTGGGAGAGCTGGGAGACCCACAAAGGGGGTTTGGAGATCCCAGGGCCAAAGAAAGGAGGGTGTAGCGACTGGGAGAGGTGGGATGGGGCATCCAGGGGTCCCTGTGCCCACGAAAGGGGGGCCCAGGGGGCCTTAGTGTTGGGGAAAGAGGGCTCATGGGGTGAGGAGAGCCAGGATGGCTGGGAAAGGGGGTGCAGGGGGGTGTTGGTGCAGGATAAGGGGGTGCAGGGGGGTCGTGGTGTTGGTGAAGGGGGTCCAAAGTATCTCTGAGTCAAGAAAAGGAGAGTCCAGGGATCCCCAGTGTTGTGGAAAGGGGGGGTCACAGGATGGGGAGACAGAGGATGTCTGGGAATGGGAGTCCTGCAAGTCCTCAGTGTAGAGTAAAGGGGGACTCGGGGCTGGGAAAGGCAGGAATGGGGGTCCAGGGGGTCTCATGGTCAAGGAAAAAGGAGGTCAGGGGTCTGGGAGAGGTGGGATGGCTGGGAAAGGGGGTGCAGGGGGTTGTGTTTGCAGGATAAGGGGGTTCAATTGGGTCCTGGAGCCAGGGATGGGGTTCAGGGTTGTCCCAGTGCCCAGGAATGCAGGTCCTGGGCAGTCCCAGTGCTGGATCAGGGGGTGCAGGAGAATCCTTGTGCCTGGAAATGGAAGTTCAGGGGGATCCCCGTGCCCAGGAATGGGTATTCCGGGGGGTTCCCTTCCCAGGAAGGGGGTTCAGGGGAACTCCAAGTCCTGGGAATGGGGGTTCATTGGGTCCTGGTGCTGGATAAGAGCATTTAGGGAACTCCAGGTGCTGGGAGAGGGAGTTCGGGGGGGGGGGTCCCAGTGCCCAGGAATGGGGGTTCGGGGGGCCCCTGTGCCAGGAATGGAGGTTCAGGGGGGTCCCAGTGCCAGCCAATGGAGGTTCAGGGGGTCCCTGTGCCAGGCAATGAAAGCTCAGGGGGTCCCGGTGTCCAGGAATTGCTGTCAAGGGCCTTCCCGGTGCCTGGGACCCCCTTGCAGGAAGCACGGGGAGGGGAGAACTGGGGGGGTCACAGAGACTGGCGGGTCTGGCGGGGCCAAGCGTCAAGGAAGAGGAACTGGGAGAGCTGGGAGAGCCGGGAAGGGGCCAAGGGTCAAGGGAAGGGGGGGGGGGGGGGGGGGGGGGGGGGGGGGGGGGGGGGGGGGGGGGGGGGGGGGGGGGGGGGGGGGGGGGGGGGGGGGGGGGGGGGGGGGGGGGGGGGGGGGGGGGGGGGGGGGGGGGGGGGGGGGGGGGGGGGGGGGGGGGGGGGGGGGGGGGGGGGGG